GGATTTAAGATATATATATATTTTTTTTATTGCGTTTGATGAAGAACGATCGTCTTCGCTAGCACCTTTCAGTCGATGATGGCACTGAAATAATTTAAAGACCAAGTAACGGCCACAAACGCCAAATCGTAAACTGACGGGATTTTCGAAGAGCAAAATTTTAATGGGTTTTTTGCGCAATTTAGCCTAATTTTGAAAATGTCACCGACTCAACCAGAATTATGGTAAATTTCAATTAGCTGCCTGACGAAGTTGCGTCGCCAGATAGGTGTAAGCTGACTAAGGAGCATGATGCGCCATGTTAACGCATTAAACCCGGGTTTTTCTTTGCACGCAACCGAAGCTCCTCTCAGTCAGCAGATGTTCAAGTTATCATCATGCATCCAATTGTAGCATTGTTAAGAAAAATGAGTGATGAACTCGTGTGTACCGTTTGAATATCGTTAATTCAAGGGCCCTTTGCACTTTTTTTATTGCCTGATATTTTTTTGATTAAAAAATACTGCTGTAATGAGACCGTTAGAAAGTTCCATTTTCTGCTTCCTCCAGCTGCCTGGATGAAGAAGCAAGAATCCAGTGAAAGATTCTGATATCATCTGATTTACGCTGACACTTTTCTATATACCTAGTGAGGAGGCAATCGTTTCGAAATTGTAATTCATGAGCGATGAGTATTGATCCCCATTCAGATGTGCCTCGATGGCCAATTTGCACTTAGCCATCGAACTTAACTTGGTAGAGTACAAAAATTCCGCATCCTCATGTTTGGATTCCGCAAGTTACACAGCGTCGCTGTGTTTAATAAACCTGCAATAACGGAACGATGGGCCTCCTGATTCTGATTATTGTTACATATAGGATCAGGTTCGACATCATGGTCCAATCTATTAATCAAGGCATTGTAAATCATTATTTGGTTATGAGCTCGAAATCTGTAACAGATTTAGTGATCCACAGTCAAGGGCACACAACAAAGTGGATGTTAAAGCTGCTAAGCGAATAAGAGCATTAGCATAAGATTTATGGTTTGAACTTTGGATGGTCAAATCAGTTACAGAACAAATTGTAAGCCCAGAATCGAAAATCTGAATTCCTGCTCATTGGCTTTATGTTCTGTATGATAGCAGACTAGCTCATTGTACTGCATAATATGCTGGTACTGTGAGCAACTACACAGTTAACACGATGACCAAGTTAATGCATGATACAACTGAATATGCTTAAGGGCTGTAATTACGTTAATTATGCCTTAGGTCTAATTTCCTCAGTTACCATCCTCGGTCATTTTTGTCACTCTTTGCCAAAAAGAAATTATTAACCGTTCTGCACTTGAGTTCTAAATCGAATCCAGGGAAGAACAATAACCGCAAGCTAGCAAGGTGAAGCTATTTAGAAAGAAAATATTGCAGTAACCAAGTGTTCATATTCAGCACTGGATGAACATAGTAGATTAGTCAGATTTCTTTTTCTTGATGGCTTCCCAGGTGGCTGAAACTGCCTTTTCGTTCATGGATTACACCCAAAATTCTCAAATGCAGTCTCTCAAATGCAGAATGATCTGAGAAACGTTTTTAGCAAAATACAGCGGTAATTTTCGCATCAGAAAAACACTTTACAACGAAGAAAAAAAGTCATCAACTTGGAGGACCCTTTGATAGATTTTGATTGCTGTCGTTTTCAGTGTTGCCAGCAAGTCGACAAGCATGCACAGTAAGGAATGTATGATATTCCGTCAAAGGTTTGAAGCGTCATTTCACGGAAACAGCGTTTATCGGCCGACGTAGGGCAAATAGCTGCAGATTTTGAATATTCAATATAATTTAATATTCAAAGACTTTGAATATTCATTTTGAGAAGTGGTAAGAAAAGAAAAGTGAAAAGAAAAGTTTCAAAGATTTGAACCTGTCATACGACGGGGTCCATCGGAAAAGATTTTGCAGCTAGAAATCGTAATCGCCGTAGCCACACAGGCAGCAGATCGAGAGAAATTCCAATTTTTGCTCATTCAATTGTTCACTGACATCGTCAGCGTAATTTATGATCACATTTTCTCCATAGTTTTCGGTTTTTGCTTCTGGAAGCTAATCGCCGTCCAGCTGCCAGGTCAGTCGTTTTATTCCATAACAGCAAAATACTCATAGTCTAAAGCATGTTAAAATCGATTTCATGGGTGTTCACGCTAGTTCTACGACGATTCAGAGGCTTTCAAGGCTTGCCGCCGTGCAGCTTTAACGGGCTTAGCCGTCAAGCTAGGATCTTTTTATATTTTGAGGCTTATTCGGTCTGCATTTTGTCAGAAAAACGTATGGAAGGACGTGATGCCACAGTGCCTAAGAGGTAGGCTTCGAACTCCGGAGTCGTCGGGTTTGATTCCGTCGGAGGGACACCTTTGTCCTCACCGCGAATTTCCGTCAGAAACGAAATTACCAAATATTGTCTCAAACCGAGGTTGTTCAGTCCCGGTCAGAGTCACTGGGTTTCCTTCCTTCCAATGTTCATAAAAGAATACCACT